AACGTGGCCCTGCAGGGGCCTGACAGCAGCCGGAACAGGCCACCGGTCTGGAGGCTCACTGACTCCAATCAGCTAAGCAAGCAGGTGCGCGCCGAGCGCAAAATACTTTATTTAACAATTTGCAGTGTAACAATTTGCATTTAGGAAAAATAGCCCCTCCGGGGAAGCTTCTTGAATCAAGTCACTAACAGGACAAGGGGCTGGAGAAGCCGAGGGCAGCAGGTCTCAGGCCCCAGGAGCCCCACCCCCTGGACAGGGACCGCGGGACCCTAGCGAGGCCGGGCCTTTCCCAGCGAAAGAACATGGGTCCCATCACACCCGTGGGCGCCCCAGACGGTCACGTGACCCGGAAAGCGGAGGACCTGTGCCGAGGCCACATTCCCATGACCCTCCGCTGAGATTGAAAATACCAGGCGAACTACAGAATTAGTTCCTAGTGATTTTATAAATATCTCCACCCGTCCTCAGCCCCTCAGGCGGAACAAGAAGGGGAGCGGCTCTGAGAACCGCCTGAAGGCAGAGCTGGAGGGAGTCGGTGGGAGGAGCCTTGGCAGGTGGCCGGTGAGCAGCCGGTCGGCCCTGCCGGCCCGTGTGGGGAACCCGGGGCAGAGATCAGCTTCAGGAGCTGCTGTCAAGAAGGTATTTTAAGCCACTTTCGTCAAGATGTCGCCAACAGTGCCAGCCAGGTGAGGGCACGTCGCTGAATGGCGCAGAGCTGGCCACCACACAGCTGCTCTGCCGGAGCCCAGCCAGGCCTCACTGAGCCACACCGGCTGGTCGGCGAGGACCAGGCACCCGGAACCCAGGCTGTGCCCTGGCTCTCTCCCTCGCGGGCGGACAGAGCCAGGCCCCTGGCGGCAGGGACCCTCGTGGTCCTGCTGGGCCGCAGACACGCCTTTGCTGCGGGAGGAGCGCTCCACGCTGACCACGGCGTCTCTGCCTTCCCTCAGAGGCTGGTGAAGACACACCGCCAGCGACTGCTGTCAGGGCTGCGGACGCCGGGGCGGGAGCTGGCCGTGGCTGCAGAGCAGGCGTCGGGGTCGCTCAGTCAGGCCTGCTCTTCCCTCCAGCGTCTTAGAGGAACTGGGACGAACCTGGCAGCCACTCGCCGTCAGCCCGAGACGCCCGAGTCCCTGCAGCTCAGCTCCCCAGCAGCAAAGGGCGTCCGGCTGCGCTCAGCATGACATTCCTACGTGACTACAAAGGCTTATCCTGAACTCATTCTTAGGTAGAAGGGGGGCCGAAGGTCCCTCCTGTCCTCGGACCTGGGAGCTGTGGGGCGCCTGGCAGCTCCTCCTCACGAGGTGCGAGCACAGGACTCTGCTGCGTGTCCATCGGGCACAGGAGGGAGCCGGGCGGTCAGCCGAGTGTCGGTGGAGAGCAAGCTCAGGTCCCAGTGCTGACGGAGCAGGGCCATCTACCTCAGCACTGGGTACTTCCTCTGGCCAATCCTCCCAGGCCTGGCGCTTCCCGAGGTGGCCGAGGCCTGAAACGACATGGACAGCACTGACTCCGCCCGCCCCGAGGTGGGTGCCCCTCGTGAGGGCTCAGGGTGCTGCATGTGGGCCGGGGTGACAGGCCAGCACCCCTGACGCCCAAAGGGCAAGTTGCTGTGCCCGTTTTTGCAGCCACGACCTCGGGCCGCATCAGGGTCAGGCCCTGGGGTCCCTTTAAAGGTGCAGCCATTTGCTAGGGGCTCAGGGAGCCAATCCCAAGGGCTGAGCATCTGAGGAGAAGGACAGGCACCGACTTGCTCCCTCACAGACCAGACTGACGTGCAGGCTGAGGGCTCCTGTGGAGGGAGGGAGAGCCACCACCCCATCCTGAAGTGGAAAACAGACGGGTTCCAGGTGGAAACAGGCCTTGGCCCTGGGAGGGGGAGGGGAACAGAGGCCAAGAAAGGGCCTCCTGGGCAGCTGCCCAACGCAGAGGGCAGCAGGGCGGCTCCGAGTAAGGAGGCTGGGCACACCGGGCGGCGGGCACACGGGCGGCGAAGCAGGGTGTGCCCCAGGGCGCAGGTGGTTTCCATTCTCAGTGCCCAGAGCTCTGCAGATGCCTGTCCCCCAGCTCCCCTGACCCGGCAGCCAGTCTGTGCTGTAGAGGCAAGAGCCTGGGAGGGAGGGGAGTGGGAGGAGCAGTGGAGAACACCCTTCCTCTCTAAAATCAATAAATATGTTTTTTTAAAAAAAGAACACCCTGATGGAAGGACGTGGCCACCAGGTGGCGCAGCACGGCCGGCGCAGCCAGGGAACCGCAGTGGGCACAGCAGCAGGAGCGGCAGGACCCGAGGCCGTGGCCCAGCCGGCGCTGGGCCTCCCACTCCCGCCCAGGAGACCGCGCAGCTTACCTGTGCGAACTGCGCAGGGTTGTAGAAGGTCACGGATGCCCCGGGGGGCGCCTCTGCCGGGGGGTGGTCACTGGGAGCCTGAGAACCACAGAGAGCGCAGCTCAACAGACGACGCCACAGCCACAAGCACAGACACTATTCTGGGTGAGCCGCAAAGCAGCATGCACAGAGCTCGCGACCGGGCGACCAGGCGTGCGCAGCGTTAGTGCGGTGAGCAGCCAGCAGGCACGGCAGCGACTGCCATCTAGTGTCCAGCGCGGAACCAGTGCGGTGACACGCAAACTAAAGGCCACATGACGCCTTCCAACCAGTCACGGGCAAGCCTGGCTCCACGCGACACGAAGATGCAGCATTCCTTTCCTCCCTTCCCAGCGCGGCCACAGGACAGCTGTCGCGCTGCACTCGCCCGGCTGAGCGTGAACCTGCTTGTGCTTGAGCAGAAGAGGAATTCTTCCTTTCAGATGAGCACGGACCCAGAGCGAGGCCACGCCCACGGCCAATGATTTGGAAAAAGCCAATTCAGGGAGTGCAGTTACAATCCCCCACCCCTGGCACGTTGGGGTCCACTCAATGGTCAGTGCGTCTGCACGTGGACACTCGCCGAGACGCTGGAAGAAAGGAACCCTGCATCCCAGTGATGTGGCGGCTGGGTGACACCTGGGTGACGTTAGTGAGCCACCAGCACAGCGCCCTGAAGGAACACGAAGGTGACCCAGTAGAGCCCTGTGTTCAGTGAGAACCGCCAGCCACGGGTACCTGGTGGAAGTGCTGGCTCACTTCACGGGACAGTGAGCTCATTGAGCTACAGCGCGAAAGCTACAAAACAGCGAGAACAGACAGTCAAATGCGCCGCGCTCCAAGCCGGGGAGCAACTCCAGAGCTTTACAAGCCACGAGAACTCCAGTGGGAAGAGGCCGGCGAGCCTCGCAGGCCCGTTTTAACGCCCAGGTCTGGTTAAGATACATTAGTGGGGGGTCTGTCCGGGTCTCGGCCAGAGCCGCCGACCGCAGGACCCTGAGGAATGCAGCAATCGGCGTGCCAGGCTGTGGGCAGAGCTTGGGTTGTGACCTCAAACCCCTCCCAGGGACTCTGCTCACAACAGTGCGATTGCACTTAGGATACAGCAACTCTTCAAGTTGTGAAAGCGTTTAAACTGCCTGTTCTGCCCATTAACACTCATTTTCACAGGAAGAGACTCTGGGGCGCCCTTACCTCTCCCCCCTGGGGACCGTCCACTGGGTAGGGGGCCAGTGCAGAAGCAGGGAGCGAGTTTGCCGGGCTCACCACCTGCCGGGAAGGACACGAAATGCAGCAACTACCAAGGTCAGTGAGCGAGCCTCCCGCAGGGGCGGGTGACATGGCGCCCTCCTTGGGTCCAGGCTACAGACTGCCCTGCTCCACGGAGGGCTCCTCGGAGAAGTGGAGCAAAGAACCCACTGTGTGTGCACCGGACATCACCATCCCGCGTCCCACTGTGTGCCTGTGACCTGGTGTGACTTGTATCCCATTTCTGAGAAGGAACCTGAGCCTGGAAGTGACTCCCACATCTCACACACTGACTAGCGGGGACCAGGGCTGAACCGGCTGATCCGACTTCAGAGCCCACACTCTGAACCACTCTCCTTCCCGTCAAGTCCTCCACAGGAAACGCCTTTCCTGCCGGGACCTCAATGAGACACCAGCACGTCCCACACGTGCTGACAGTGTGAGCCCCCCTGGACGGTCGCCCGCGCACAGAAGAGGTGTCCCGGGGACGCCCACAGATGATCAAGAGCCGCTCCTGGCCGGGGAGGAGGCAAACCCCCACGGGGCCTGTCCTGTCCCGCTGTGTCCGCTCACCTGCGGTTCCGAGGAAGGTTCTGGAAGGGCTGGACCCCCAGCTGGCGCCTGCCCTTCCCTGCCAGACCCTTCTGCAGGTGGGGCTCCCTCTGCGTCTGTGCAGGAGACAGCAGGGAGGGGCTGACACATCCCAGCAGCCGGCCGTGTCCACCTACCTGCACGCATGTACTCGCGGAGGGAGGGCACGCGAGGAGGAGGGCCCGCGAGGAGGGAGGGGATGAGGCCCTCTGCACCCTGCGGCACTCCTCTCCGGGGAGAGTAAGGCCAGCGGCTCTCGGGGAGTCAGGGCAGACGTGGGCTACTGCAGACGTGCCGCCCACACTGCCTACCTGGGTTTGGTTCAAACAGCTGCGCTGGGATCGGGAGCGGGGCAAGTGGAGCAAAGAGGTCCGCGGGGGCAAGCGCCGGGTCGGTGCGCTGGGACCCGCCCGGGTTGAGGATGTCCACATAGCGCGCTCGGCTCCCGGCTACGGTGGGAGGTGGGAGGTGGGAGGTGGCAGTCAGTGGCGTGCCACCGCCCGCTCCCACGGCCTCCTCCCCGCGGCAGAGAAGGAGCCGCAGGAACCTCTCCCGTCCCACCGAGCGGCTGTGGGACGGCCCCCCGAGGCGCGCCTCTGCTGGCACCTGCCCCGGGTGAGGGCCCCCCTCCACCCTGCTCTGCACCCCCTGCAGTCCCACTCAGGACCCAGTCCCCGGCACGGCTGCAGGACACACGGGTTATCCAAACCAGCACCCACTTCTGGCCTGACTTTGTTACCTGCTTTTCTAGAAAACATGTTCACAGAGGCTCTGGGGGGCCCGCCAGGCCCAGGGGCGGCAGCTTGCGGAGCCTTGGGGAGCGACACTGGGGGTGGGGGCGGAGCCTTCTTCTGCGGAGGGACAGTGGCTTCAGAAACCTGCTCATGAGCCCAAAGGCCCGGACGCGCCACAGACAGAGCCTCGGAGGCAGGCCTCCTCCCGGGCACAAGGAGCCCCCGCCCCCCAACGAACCTCCTCCTCCGGCTCATTGGTGTCCACCCATCGGTTCTTCTTCTCGTCCCAGACGATCTGCCGTGATTACGAAAAGCAAAGAACAAGGTCAGCGGGCAGAGCGGAGCGGCTAGCCCAGTGGTCGGCAAACTGCGGCTCGCGAGCCACATGCAGCTCTTTGGCCCCTTGAGTGTGGCCACGAAGTTTCAATCGCACTGTACGTGCGCGCCCGCATGTGGTATTTTGTGGAAGAGCCACACTCAAGGGGCCGCAGTTTGCCGACCACTGGGCCAGCCTGACTACTTTGTGACACAGACTGGAGGGACACGTATGTGTGTCGTTCTGAAGCTGAAATACAGTGCCAACAACGCTGCCGGACACGCCACCGCGACACCCACCGAGCCCTCGGGGGCCCCTCCGGCGACACCCACCGACTTGTTCTTGTCGTCTGGCAAGTACGCTTCCGTCCTCTTCTTCCCAGACAGCCAGCGCGAGAACCAGGACTCGGCATTCTGAACCAAACCAGGACAAGCACGTGAGGGCGTGGCCGAGCGAAACGACACAGGACAAGCCTTGTGTCCCGCTCTGAGGACCTGCAGCCAGGAGCACGCGGACTTGTGTCCACACGTGGGGAGACCTCCTGCGAGTCCTGACAACACAGGGAGCCTGGGGGAGGACAGCGCACGCGGCCGAGGATGGAGAGGCACAAACAAGCACCACCCCCGCCAGGAAACGCCAACGCAAGCACAGCAAGTGTCACCGCCTGGCAGAAGGGCCGGCAGGAGTGCCAGTGCCCGCCCTGCACACGGGACAGGGCCTGGACGGTGGTGCCACTGTGGGCGGCTGCCGGGAGGGTGGCGTGCACCACCTACAGCGCCTTCTGAAGCTGGACCGGCTGCCTGTGCCCTGGGCCACACCCGAGAGAAACAGCGCCCTTGCCACCAGCCCAGGCAGAGCCCGGTGTGCCCGTCGGGAGGAAGGGCAGTAGGACGGTGGCAGCCACACGGATCGCCCCACATGGGGGACGGGCCTCCTTCAGGCGAAACGCAACGAAGGCCAAACTCCTCAGTGAGACAGAGAGGCCGCCCCAGGCGGGAGGGGACAGTCCTAGACACGCAGGGCCTCTGGGAGCAGGAACGGCCCTAGCTCTGAGCTGGGCGGGGTGACACGTGGGCACAGACAGAACGCCCACCACTGTGCCCCTCACACCATGGCTCCTCTGAAAACGCGTCTGGCTTAATTAGAGAAGAAGCGACCGCCTGGCCCTGGCCTCCGG